CTGGAATCTGAGGGTGCAAAAAATCTAAATATTGAGAAAATCACATTTAAAGCTGTCCAAATGAAGTTCCTAGCAATGCATATTACTAATCAAAAATTAAGTTTGTATACATTTACGGTAGGAAATTTAAAAAACACAATCTTTACTTAATATCCTTTTTGGCATAAAAGAAAAATTTATCATTTTGACCCATACAATGTATTTTTGGCTTTTGCTACAAATATACCCGTGCGACTTAAGACTGGTTTTGTGCTTCAGGTTCACATATAATATTACTGAAGGCCACTTAAGTGTATATAAAGAGAGTTCATTTTCATGATTGTTTCTTAACACTTAAATACACTTTTAAAAAGTGTCATTTGTAATAATGTCAAACTGAAAGGTTTACATTTCAGATCATTGTTTTAGATAATCTTTTGTCATGCTTCAGAGAAGTAGGCTACTTGATTATTATTTTAACTGTAGTGTTATTTGACTTTACATTTAATGTTAATGTATTTTAAAAGACCAGCGACCCTACAGAGGGTAAGCAGTTTGGAGAATGGATGGATGGATGTTTTAAATACTAAATTGAAACTGCTACAAATGTGTAGCCTAATTATAGCCTAAATATATTTAAATAGGCCTACATGACGTATCAACATTAAAGTATATTTTATTATAAATGTTTGTCAGTACATTCAGCCGTACACTTTATTTCCACACACAATAAAAGTAATTATGAAATTACAAAGATGTATTAAAATTATAAAGATGTCCTACTTAAATGGGTCAAAAACACTCTTAAGTTAAATTAATTGCATGCAATATAAATGTAAACTATAATACATTTTCATTTAATTAACATGCAGTTAAGTGTCAGAAAACGCTTCATTCAGTTTGCATATTCTTTTAAAGTATTATTTTCCATAAAAAATAACTCTTTTTAAAATTATGCAAAGCAGCTTCTGAACAGACAGTTAGATTTGATGAATACCCATACAAAACTGGTTGACTTTCCCAAGCCCCTATTGGTGGAAAAATTATTATTATGATATTCTCATATTCAGTTGCAAATACACGGAAAAGCTTTCCCAAATACTCTGTCTGTCTTCCATTGCTGTTTTATTCAGCAAGGATGCAATAAATTGGCCAAAAATAGTAACATTCATACTGTTACAAAACATTTTTGTTTCAAATAAATTCTGTTCGTTTAAACTTTCTATTCATAAAAGAATCTTGAAAAAGGACAATCACGGTTTCCACAAAAATATAGAGCAGCACAACTTTTTTCAACATTGATAATAATAAGAAATGTTTCTTGAGCAGCAAATTAGCACATTAGAATGATTTCTGAAGAATCATGTGACACTGAAGATTAATGAGTAATAATGCTGAAAATTCAACACTGAAAAAATAACAGTAAGAATTTTCACTATGAAATTGCTAGTAAATTTATATAATACACTGTAAAAAAAATTCCGTAAAAATTCCGGTACAAAACGGCAGCTGTGGTTGCCGGAATTTTACCGTAAAAAATACGGTAGCAACCTTTTAGGTTTTACGGTTTTAACTTAAATATACAGTTAAATACCGTAATTTCATTAACTGATATAATGTTAATATACCAACCTATTGAAGTACTGAAATCTGTTTTGTACCTTTGTAATACACTGATAACCACCAAATCCAGGTGGTGATGAGAAAGTCACATGATGAAACAAAGCCCATCACAAGCAGCTTTTAAATAATAACATATATAGAAGATGCACAGTGTCGTTCACACAGACACTAAACACCATCATGGTGACACACATGAAACTGAAATAATGCAATAAACATTAATTTAACAACATTAGGTGTAACACACAACCCTAATATACAAAACTGATAAGAAAAAACTAAAAAGAAACATAGTTATTTCAACAAAAAAACATCAAATTTGAAATGTAACGCAGGGAATTCTGGGAATGTCAATTTACGGTTATTCACTGTAAATTATACGGTATTTTTCACTTCCAAAAACGGTATACTACCGTAAAATTAATGTCCAATACATGTAATGTCCAATACAGTTTTTCACCGTATATAGTAGGGGAATTTACCGTTAACCATTTAACAGGTTTTTACTGTAGCATTTTTACAGTCTTTTACTGTTAAATTCACTGTCATTTTTTACAGTGTAATATTGCCTCTGATTGGCCAATACACAGGGCCCCAGTCAGATTCTGGCCCTGTCTCAAATCATATTCTTAAGGAATTCTGATGAGCATCATCGCATATGACTGTACGACTCCATAAGACAGGTGTCCCATGTAACATTTTAGGTTTAATTTGGGACAGGGCATCATTTTTGCTGCTCGTATGTCCTATAGGGCTGTCACACAGACACAAGTGTGTGGTCAGTTTTACGCACATTTTACACATGTGGTGGCACTCCAAAAAATTACTTATACAGCAGCTCCAACAGTGGTAAAAACCCAAAACTTAAAAGGGACCACATTTGTCTGCAGCTATTTGCTCCATCCATTGACTCTAAAAAAAATAGATGAACAAAGATGAGTGACAGCTTTTTTAGTGATTATGAACAGAGCGCTCTTTGCGCCGTAGCAACGGACGCCACTATATATAGGCTATATTAGTGGCGTCCGTTGCTATGGCGCAAATATATACAGTATATATAGTTATAGCACCCTCACTAATTTAAGAAGCACCCTCAGTGATTTGATTCTGGAGCCGGGCCTGGGAAGACGCCGTGTGTTTATCGAGCGGAACAGAAAGCTCTCAGGCTTTAGGGCCCAGCGCGGTGATGCTCAGTCTGAAGTCACTGGAGAGGAATGGATGCGCAGCCACAATGCGGCTGTAGGAAGTGATGGTCCTCTACTGATATAGGTAGAGGCCATGCCATTCATCCAATATGTAAGCGACTGCATTAATAAAGAATATCCCCTTTTTAAATAGGCGACCGCATTTAGCATGGCAGAAAATGATACATAGGCTACACCCTGCTAAGGGATGGTGTGAAGTGAGAGGTGTCCGCATGGCGTCACAAGCCTAGAGCGCGCGTCGTTATGAACCCATCATCATCATTATATCCTTCTTGACCTCGCGGCGAAATGATGTATGAACGCGCGAGTTGTGGATGCTTATTAAGTACGCCTCTGGAAATACGGAATTGGCAAGTAAAAACAATTGTACCTCATGCTTGCTCAGATATCCCATCATCACCATTATACCCTTGAACAAGTTACTGAAGCCAGGTTGCCTGAGGGAGAAGTCTTTACAATAAGGTTCCATTTGTTAACATGAAAAATACTCCTAAAGCATTTATTAATGCTCAATTCAACATTTACTAATATTGTTCACATCTAAAGTTGTATCTGTTAAAGGAATATTTCACCTCAAATTTGCTGAAAATATACTCACTCTCAGGCCATCCAAGATGTAGATGAGTTTGTTTGTCCATGTGAACAGATTTGGAGAAATGTAGCATTACACCACTTGCTCACCAATGGATCCTCTGCAGTGAATGGGTGCCGTCAGAATGAGTCAAAAAACATCAAGATAATCCACAGCAGGACTCCAGTCCATCAACGATGGATTTGTTTATTACAAAGACAGCTTTTCACTGCACTGGAGTCCTGTTGTGGATTATTGTGATGTTTTTATCAGCTGTTTGGACTCTCATGCTGACGGCACCCATTCACTGCAGAGGATCCACTGGTGAGCAAGTGATGCAATGCTACATTTCTCCAAATCTCTTCTGAAACAAACTCATCTACATCTTGGACAGTTCACCTAAAACTGAACTTGTGTCGTCATCTACCACCCTCAAATCATTTCAAACATGTACTTTTTTCTATTTCGAAAAACAACAGTGACTTTCATTGTATAGAAAAAAAAACAAATTTTTCTTTTTTACTCAAGTTAGGATTGAAACTATGGTAAATGCTGTCCATTTTCATTATTGGATGAACTGTCAATTTAACTGTTCAGCAGAGAAAATGAAAAGGTAAGCATCGAGTAGTTTATTAGAAATATGTAGACAAAATCGAACGCTTTTTTCTTTTGAAAACATTGATAGGAGTCTAGCAATATGCACACACACAGCCCTGTCTAGCACCTAATTTTGATAGTGCAAACTTATTTGGTCTTTTTGTTTTAGATTTGATTGGAAACATGCAATACCTTTCTGTTTTCCCATCTTTTACATTTGAAGACATCAAATATCATACTGCAGTCACAATATGAAAGACGTTAATGGTCCAATACCAAATACAGTGCTAATATAGACTTTGGGGAAATTGATCATTTTAGAGAGTCAGAAAATATCAACATCCAACAAATCTGGTACCACCTCAAGAGACATATGAAAAGAAGTACTGTATATTAGGGCAGTGAGTCTTATGTCTAATAACTGGGACTTACGGTTTCCAAAATCCATAATCATTCTTATGCTTTAATCACAGGATTTGCAAGACACAAACTCTCTCCACCTCTGCAAAGTTTCACTTTTCATTTTAATTTCAATGCCTTACAATAAAAATTAAAAAAAAGAAA